GTGATACTTCGTAAATGATCGGCAGCAGTGCTGACCAATCCGTACGCAGTTCTCTTCTCTGCCAAAGTCGCATTGTAGCTCCAAGTTCGACCAGTTACAACGTGCCAAATAGTATCCCTCCAAGCATCTGTAACAGAGGTTGTTCCGTCGTGATGGAAGGTAAAGGGAGATGTTCCAAGAATCATGATATATTCGGTCGTTTCCGTCATTTGGACTAGAGCAGAGTGAAGTTGCTCACGAGCTTTTGTCGTGGAGAAGGAGGAACGAGGGATGAATCGTGAGGAAGTGACCATGTTGATACCTATCGCAACACGATCCTTTTGCATAATCTTGCTGTAAAACGGGAGCCATCCATGGAAGGTCTGGGAATGAACTGTTACGTTTGGTATGCTGAGTGAATGACGGAAGTTGATAATAGGTGCCATGATTACTTCCGCCTGATCTGCCGATAAAGTAGGAGTAACGAATACACCGGTGTTAGGAGAGACGACAATTCCGTATCCATTATGGGCCATGTTTTCTGCGTTGTTCATTAGAACTTTGATGAACCTGGAAAGAATGTCAAGATGAAACCCTTCCCACTGAATGACCGTCATCTGCAGAGTAAGTGGTGGAGATGCTAGGATTGTCGCATCGAGCACAACTCCGAATGTTCCGCCTCCGCCTCCACGCAAAGCGAAGAAAAGATCTTGCGCCTGGTATTTGTTGGCTACGTGAACCGTTCCGTTTGGAGTGACCACAGTAAATTGCAACTTCAATACTAATGAGTGTTTTTCAACACGATGAACAAGGCAATCATACTCACGACACGATCAACCCCGAGACCAAGCGTGTTGCTTAACATACCGTGACCACCACCCTGGAGCCACCCGCCGACAGCACCGACCTTCGGGTCGCTTCCTATACGAGAGTTCAGAATTGGCTCAGACGGAGGAGGGCGCAAGATACTAACCACCGACTACAGTGACATTATGTTGATCTGCAAACGCATAAGCTTCGTCCCACTGGACACCAGCCTGCATTCGAATGGCAGTCACGACTGTAAAATCATCATTTTCGGAGCATCCAACGGGGACGAATTCTGGAATGTAGGTCATCTACGAAAGATATTAGACGAAATACGAATTTGGATTGCAATATATACCATACTGATTTCATGTTATGCATCCACAGTCCCAAAGAGTCGGGTGCAGTACTTCTTCCTATATAATCGTGCTTTTGAGAATTACTCAGTGTGTCACAAGTCAAATAAGCAGATGTGAAAACTCACGCCAGTATTCTTTATTACCAAGGATATCTTCGTTTTTCTGGAGAACTTGAAAGCTTGGACCACATCTTCCGAATTTCGAACATCAATCTAAGCTGTTGTGAGTGGAAAACAATGCTTAGATCGTAATGTGTGAACATACGTAGTAGGATGAGATGCTCCCCATCTCACATGCATTGCGATCTTTGATAGCATCCGGATCGCGAGGGTCATCTTCGTTCAACAAACATCGTTGTCCTGTAATCTGGCATGTTTCCCAATTTGTTTGCGTGGTAGAGCCTGGAACATTGTAACGAAGGTTTCCATCGCGGTAATATTGCTGAACTTCCTTGCAAGCCGAAGAATTCGGGTCTGTGAAACAAGGTTGAGAGAAAGGCAATCCACGAATGAGTCGCCCGTCAACTGAAACGTTCAATACCGCCCAATCCTCTTCTGTTACTGGTCTGGGATATAAGTCCTGGTGCAAATGAGCCTGGTCTGCCAAAGTCGCGTCTACTATGAATAGCAGAAACAAGAGGCGGATCCAGATAGAACTGAACATGATAGTGTGGAAACGTTCTCAGCTTGACTGAACTTCTTATAAGATGGTTGAGGGATCGCAGTCTGCTGCGTATCAAAAACGCGGATTCGACTCCAGCCAGATGACCTCCGGTAGTCTTCTCATAGCGTATTTCTCATTTGCGATATTCCAGGAAAGTTGAGGCTGGCAGGCTCCAAGGCTCTTGATGAAGGTTGAATACTATCAGCTTTCGAACAGGGTAAACCTATGTATCTGTAGGCAAGTACAGTCAGTTATATCCAGATTCTCCACAATTCGTTTGTATTGTAGCCATCTCGGGGTCACCTATGCATTTTCACTGCCCAGTCAGTATTGCATAGCACAAGAGGGAGGTTGCACGAGAGCACAGGCATCTCAGGCTTAAATTCTTACAACTTGAAGGTAAGTTGCAAAACTACGATTCAAATGATACTAGTAGCGTTTACTATGTGTTATTAAAGTTTGTTAACGGTGGCAATCGGAGTTCTAATAAGCAATAGCTACCATATTAATGCTACTTATGATCCATCATAATAACAATCTATGCCGAAGTGCGCGATGAAGTCAAGCGCGTTGGGGGAAATCTTCGAATTCAACTTAATCCATATCTTCGCCCTCCTTCCGTTAACATTGATGATGGCCGTACAGCGTACACACTTTGCTGACACCAGTCATGATACGGAAGTTTTACAGTGTATCTCGGAATGTATGAGTTGAGAAATCTTCTTATCTCAATTTGATTGCTTTGGTTGACTTTTTTTACAGATACACAGCACCTTGATATGGAGCCCCGTGAAAATTAAAGGAAGGGTTTCCGGGCCACCACTACAGTGACTGCACATGTTCTCTTTCTCGCGGTGGGTAAGTAGCTCAACTTCATCATGTGGGTAGGGAGAGTTTCTAATCGGGCTTTCTCTTTAGTTTGACCCCGAGATCGACGAGCACGGAGTAACTCCCTCCACTTTGAAAACCTCTCCTGAGCGTCATGGGCCACCACACTCCCAAAAACAAATGCTCTGAACCGATCAATTTTTTTGTGCCTGGGATTCATACTATGTCCCTGTGTTAGTATGGAGCGTTTGGGTTTAGATAAAGGCCGCAGCGGGTACATTGCTTTCACTCTTCTTACCTCGCCGTGACGGTCCCCTCAGGTATGTTCGCTCTTTGTTCAATTGTTCCCAACCAATCCCCAATACCATTCTTGAAGGTACCATTGGACGAGGATGCCAGCTCGTACCTTATCCTCTAAGCCGTCTCTTTTGCTGGCACTGCGGAAGAACGCTAGTCGTCTTTTTCTACCTGCGACTGGTCAAATCACTTTTTATCCCGCTTCTCACTCGCTCGTTCAATGCTTGCCCTCCGAAGTCATCCTGGCTATATGCGGAGAACTGGTTTCTTCGCTCATTACAAACTCAAACAATGACAATGATACCATCTCTGACGACACCGCCGACGCCATTCCATCACTGCTTGAAGCGCAGAGGAGCTTGTACGGAGCCGTGATTTCATGCAAAGCGTGGTACCTCTCTGCTTCTTCGCTTCTGTATATTTACCCCTACCTCCTTTCTGTCCGTCGCCTACGATTGTTCGCGAGAACTCTACGGCAATGTCCCAATCTCATTCAATTCGTAAAGGGGATGTTTCTATTGGATCCACAACGAAAGAAGCAATCACTGTTCTACAGGAGTATCATGGAGATGACGAGACAAGAACAAAAAATCAAGAAATCGAAAGCATGCCTCAACAAGGTCTTGGAACTGTGTACCTCGCTGGAATTCTTACATTTACACAATCATGGAGGCAAATCATCTTCAGTCATTTCGGTCGACGATAACTTCAAGTCATCCTGTCCTGGAAAGCACATCCGATATCTGACCTTGTTCGGATACGATATGGGAAAAAATGGTGATTCTTGGTCGTTTGATCCTACTACGCCTTTCGTCGGTGGCAAATTCAGACAAATCGAGTTCCCTTCTCTCGAAATCCTTTCTCTTCGGAAAGTCAGGCTTGGCAAACACTTTCCCGCACTCATCGCTCCCAACATGCACACACTTCAAATTACGGAAAGTTCCAGATATTACCATCCTGCGCCTTTGGAAATCGATCCCAGTAAATTCCCTTCCCTGAATACTGTCGAGTTTTATAACAATAGGGTCGGATGCTCGCTCCACGTTCCCATCGAGCTCGTTCGCCGTCTGAAAAGGGTTCATCTCATCAATTGCAGAGGAAGTCGACCGTGGGATATGTTTAGGTTCGAAGAAACCATGAACAAACTCACGGCTATTGAGTCGATGGTCATTGGCGGATTATGGCTGGAAGATCATGAAGAAGAAGAACAAGGATGGATGTTCCCTGATGGACTTGATCAACTCAAGGTCATCCACCGGTTCAGGGACGACGAGGAAAGTTGTGCTTTTTGCAATGGGAAAGGGAAGAGCCCGTTTCAAGTCGCTGAAACTTTGTGCAAGACTTTGAGAAGAGGCTCAGCAGTTGTGGATGGGATTTCACGAGGGTTGAGAAAGGAGATCGTTTTGCAACTGATTGGGCAGGGTCCCAACACTGGTACTTTCTCTAGGGAGGAGATGGAGATAGTCAAGGCGATGTTTGCGGAGAAAGGTGTCAAGTTTACTCTTGATCGAGATAGTGAGTTTATCTATCCCTTTGATTTACTGATATCTTGCTGACAATCGATGTAGCAACTTTGGACTGGATCGCGGAACGACTTGCCGTTCCTCATACTCAATAGACTGTGTTACCGCTTCCTTCTAAAGCTATAGATTGGACCACGTTCGCATTACCGTTCTTTATAAACTCTTGACCGGGACTTGCTTTAAGACATTCTTTTCGCTGTTTCTTTTCTTTTTAGGGTTTTCGGGCTGGCTCGATGAGGATTTGTAAATTATGTATAAACGGTTGTAGATACCTATGGACTATTACTCTCTATACAGTGTATTTGTACACATGATATTTCACTATCTGGACTTGTCTTGAATCTGATCGTTGTGGACTTTATGGTACTTGTGATCGATGGGAGAGTGGCCTCTAATTTCGTTCTGTATCTGCTACCATTGTGATGCTGGTGGTACTCGTCGGCAGAATGAATATTGTAGAGACAAGGGGGTTGGTAGGGCCGATCTACTGTATGGAAGTCCAAAGCTCCAGTTACATAGTGCCAATGTAGCTACACGTAGTCATGGGCACTTGGCACAGTGGTAGCGCGCCTGCTTTGCATTGACTGATGCTTGCATGAGGTCGAGGGTTCAATCCCCTCAGTGTCCATCGCACAGTTTGATATTTTTGGTGAGCTTTATTATATCCATTGTAATTTATAGGATTAGAAAGAGCGGATTGATCAGATATTGCGAAGGCAAGGACGAACTCTGTTTTTCTTATATGCGACTTTGTTACATGGGCGACGAAAGAAATACTGAATAACTTCTCAATAAAATGAATTCTTCATTCCATCTCGGATAATGTGGAATCAAATACTCGCGACGTGAGCCATTTGTTTATGTCTTGATACAATAAGAGATTAGTATTCTATAAATTATGTAGAAATCACCGGGTACTCACATTGACTAGAAGATTGAACCAATAACTCGATTCCCCTAGTTGCACAGAATGTTTGAAAATCACGAAGGGCAAGTTCGATATCCACTCCAAGAAGTTGAAAGTCGTCCAAATCAAACCGGAATATAAGACGCTTCAAAGATCTCAAGCGATACTGAGAGCTCAAACAGTTGTGAATGTGCATGAGGATCTCTTCGTCAACTGTGGCATGAGCGTCAACGTGGCCCACGGGAAATACGATGGCTAATGACTCGAGGGAAGGATGAAATTTCCACAGTTCAATATCGCAATACACCTCGAGCCAACCTCCACCAAGGGTAATGTCCTTGATATTGGCTAGCATAAGAGGAAGGTGCGATCCTCCTGATATCCGTGTCCAGCTTCTAGAGAACATACCTAGCTCAAGTGGACCAATTAGAATCGCTTTGGTTATGGTGCGCATATTGCTAGGATCGACGTGTAGCACATCGCTCAAAACTGGTCCCAGTGGTAACCGGTTTTCGTAAAGTTCCAACGACTGTAATTTCGGTAGTTGGTGGTTAGGCGGAAATAAATTTGATACGTCGTTCGGGATAATGCATTGTACGATCTGTAGAACGCGCATGTTGGGAAAAGAAGGGATTTGAAAGTCGATTGGAATCTCCAAGCTGCGCAAACAGAATACTTCAAGGCAAGGAAGTATAACGACGGGGCGGCCAGAAGCGGTGAGCTCTTTGGCGGTCGGGAAAGGATGGATCTTTCCGAAGATGGTGAGTCTGGTGAGCGACGAGTTGTATGCGCTTTCAGGAGTTAGAAGATGACTCATTTGAACGAGCGGAAGGCGAGCGAAGGGACCGGAATGAAAAGAGATCGCCTTAAGTGCATGACAATGCCTCGACACCCATAGTAAGCTCGCTCGCGCCCTGCTAGCCACCAATCGAGGGTAAAGCACAAAACGACCGTTGTCAGCGATGTGATTGAGAACAAGAATGTCCTTGACCCGATGCCGCAATTCAGGGACTGCTTTCAAAGTGCGAGCGAATTGTTGTATGCGATCTGGGGATGTCAAGAGCGGTGTTTCGTATAAATAACTGTTTGCCGCAGAGAGCCAAAGTTTGGAGACCAGGCTGATAGCGGTGAGCCCGGACATTCGATGATAAATTCCCTTGTCAATATCAGGATAGTACAATGATTGTGGTGCCATCTTGTATGCATACCCAAAGAAATCACGATGCACATCGGAAGTGAGATGGTGGCAGACGAGGGAGATAAGTTCGAAAGGAAATTGAGTCCTGGGTGTATTATTCTCCGCCATGGAATAGACTTATGGTGATGGTACGTCGTCAAAAGGCGATGGGTGTCTCAACGTTAAGGTGTCTGAATTCCCGAGAGCATTAGTTCAATCAAAGTTGTTAAAGTCGCTGAACACCTACCTCCGACGAAATGGGGGGATTATTTCGATCAGGAGAAGGAGATTGTTGGAGTTGTAAAGGAAGATTGTGAGCAATAGACGCGGCTGCATACTTAATCCCGCAGCGTCAACGGTCGAGCTGTGTTCGTTCGTAACATCCACCCTCTGTAGAGAGCATGACGCTGACTAGGTGACAATTTTGAATGAACACCGCACATCTTGATGAAAAGCTGAGACGTTTCAAAGTTATCTGTATAATTTCGGGACCGCAAATTCGGATCACATAGGCTGTTAGAATACACAATGGACTACGGTCGAAAAAAATACAAGGATTCTGTCGTTTAGAGCTTGGCTTTGACAGCACCTTTTCCTTCTTCTACAACGGGATTGATGAGAGTACCGATTTTTTCAACCCATACGCGGACTTCGTCTCCGTTCTTCAAGAAAATGGCAGGTTTCCGGACAAAGCCAACTCCTTTGGGAGTACCTGTCATAATTATGGATCCCGGAAGAAGAGTCGTGCCCTGAGAAAGGTGGGCAATGGTTTGACGGACGTTGAAGAGTTGGTCACTGATCAGCAGTCCGTGTTAGTCTTGAACAAACGATGGGGAGAGTAGACTTACGCAGTATTTCCGTCTTGAAGTGTTTTCCCATTGACAACACATCCCAAAGGGAGCTTCTGGGGGTCAGGGATAGTATGTGCAGCGACAATGCAAGGTCCTATGGGAGTAGAATCATCTGTTTGAATTCTCGTCGTCAGTATACTTTTCCCGAGTTCGAGAAATCGCATTCCATACCAAAGCCCTTGGAGAATCCCCATTGAGAGACTGCCAGCTGATGATATCTAGAGGAAGTATCGTTCGCGACAGTATAACCAAGAACATAATCCAAAGCATCAGCCTCAGATACATCTTTAGCAGGTTTGCCAATGACGATGGTGAGTTCCACCTCGTAGTCAGGAAGATGTTTCTCGACTGGTTGGGTTACTTTGGGAATTGTAATGGGTGCATTTGGGCCAATAAGAGAAGTAACTGGCTTGTAGAACAAGATAGGATACCTATTAGCAGAAAGGGATTCGTAGAATCAATGGCCACGATTATATCAAAGGGAACAGATGTACTTGGGCTTAGCCATCTTGGTTTCTGCCTATTCAAACACATGAGAATATACCATATTCAGAATGAACGATGAACTTACAGCATGGTCGCTGTAGTTCAATCCTAAACACCGCACAAGTCCCACTTCCTCTCGAGACAAAGGTGCAAGGAGAGCTTTGACGGTAAGCACCTTCTTTGTGACCTGAGCAGCAGTGTCGAACGGAGAACCAATGATCTCGTAAGCCTTGATAACCCTTCCCTGGTAGGCAGCCAAACCGACTACACAAGAAGTGAGTGGTCGTAACGGAAGAGCATAGGCTGTGACATACCGTCAAGTGAAGCATCCACTGGTTGACCTATATGAACTTGACCAGTCTCTGCAGCAACAAACCGTATGAGACGAGTCCATTGCTGAAACTTATATGAACACTTCCATGCCAAATCATGAATTTCTGTGTACTCACTGTCTTAATTGGTGCCATGGTTGGTGGTGGAAGTCTGAGTTCAAGTCAGGATGGCGTGCTCGCCGTTCTAATCAACGCTCAGCGTTCCAAGATGAGACATTCTAAGTATCAAGTTATCAACCACAATTCCACGGAGTGCCGCCAGCAGCTCTTCCGTCGTGCGACCAACTGACCAAGTAAAGTACGAAGAGGAGGGGGGCGAATAATGTGAGCAGGAAGGACCGGCAGCAAGCCGCTAATAATAGCGCCCATTTTAAATACTTTTTGAACGTACTTCCGTCCGCCATGCCCATCTACTTTCCAGACGCGCCTGTTCCTTTGCCCGCCAATCCATTCACCAATAATGTCGAATACGCGGATGAAGCATTGCGAGAAACAATATGCAATGCCTACGACCTTTGTCTCGCTCTAGAAACACATGTCATTTGGAGCTTTGGTGTCGAGGTAGACCCCAACGTGGAGAACAGACCAACTGAGAAGATATTGCAGAAACTTTCACCTATAATTGCTGCCCGAGTCTTGGGCCATGCACTGAGGCTGGCACCCACTGCTACATCTAGAGCCCATTTGGCAAACGAGATTAAGGACTGTAATGGCAATGACAGACTTCTGGCTGGTCTGGCCCATCTGTACGTTTTCGGTCTTATTGGTGTGTGTAAGTGCCATGTCTCTTCTCCTCATATCGAAGCAAAAATATTGATTTTTAGTGCCACACTGACAGTTCGCAATCCGAAGGGTCCAACTCCAGCAATATCGACCTCGCAGAGTCCTCGAAAGTCATTTGAAGATAAACAACTCTCTATGGAAACCATCCTTATGGAATTCAAGTCTAAACCAGGACGCCTAAGGGATATCGTGAGTCTATTTAAACAGCATATATGCATACACAACTTATTCTAGCTCAGGTCATGAAGCGGGATAATTATCATTGTGCCTTCACAGGTGCTGTGGACGACAAATCGGCGGAGATGGGTTTGGTACAATGGGACCTCAATGACCCGCTTAGTGATCTCCAAGTTGCGCACATCATTTCTCAATCACTTACATCCGATATCTCTGTCCCTGGAGTCTCAGGGAAAAAGGTGCGTATTTTTCTATCATTCGCACAATATGTATATTGACTGAAATCGTATAAAGCTTCAGTGGGCAAGCACCGCAGCAGCTATGATTGAGCGGTTCGGTGACTTGGACTGTAAAGCTGTCCTTGGTGAAGAATTCTTGCATAATCCTCTCAATGCTATCCTGGCAACGCACATCCCACATGCGCGTTTCGATGAATTGCGCATCTGGTTTACTCCGGCAAAGGTGTGTTCATGAACGTACCATGAAATGATACATAAGCACTGATAGTGTTTTTACCAGGACCAGCAAGGCAATATAAAGCCCGACACATACAATATCAATACCTCCATTACTCCTGACCGCTCTGCTGCATTTGGCATTCGGGATCAGGTTACATTTACCTCCTCGCAGTTCCTCGTCCAAGGAAGTGTCATCACAATTCCTCCTCCTCATAAGAGGCTCCTCGAGATTCATGCTGCTTGTGCTCAAATTGCTCATATGTCCGGGGCCGCTGAGGCCTTGGACGAGTTTACCAGCGATACAGAGCCGTTTTTATTGACAGTTGATAGTAAAAAGATGGATGTTAACCCAAGAGGGTTAGAAGAGTTAACAAGAGCCCTTTATAATATACAACCAAGACCATTGAACAATCTGGTTTCTAAGTAGTTTGTCCCCTCAAACCCCCGTGACACTATG